GTGCGTAAATAAAGCGGCAAATGTCGCGTTTGTGTATATTTTTATATTATTTTTATATAGTTCTTAATAATTGGCCTAGCTAATAATTTCAACTTCAATCATTTCGTATAACATGATTTCTTCAAAGAAACGATAGATATAGTAAGATGTCATCTTGGTATATATATAGCTTCGATTTCCTTCTTATACATTTTTCTGTAAAATGTATAAAAATATAATTATAATAAAAATTTGTTTAACTTGCACTAAAAATTCAAGTATAATGTAGTAATGAATACTATTATAAATTATATTATTAAAAACTAAAATGAAAAATTATTATATAGTAAGGTCAATTAGAAATTGAAACTTATGATAATAACTAAGCTCGACTGATTTATCGCTGAAAAAGTTCATACAAAAAACTAATAATTAATAAACAATTGTTTTTGTGCGATTCAAATCCGAGCTACTAACGCCATCATATCGGTGAAATGCGGTGAATTGGAGGCCAGAACTGGATTAAAGATGTCAGTAGCGAACAGAGGTAAAATTACCATCGCTGTAAAAGCGGTTGCCTGCTGCACATATACTTTCGCTAGAAATAACAATATCAAAAGAACAACTTTTAATTGGGATACGATTTTGACGCTTTAAAGCAAATTAATTTGATAAAAAAATTATTAATTTTTTGTAGTATAAACTGCTGCTTATAATATATTTGTTAAATTTTATCTGTCAAGTACAATTAATATATTATAATTAAATTGATCATTTCGAAAAGAGGTAAATATATTTGAAAATATTTTCTTCGTATGTAATAAAGCAAAATTTCAAAAGATATTTTACAAGTACTGTAACGTGATAATAAGTCATTTGAATCAAAAATATGCAACTGAAAATTATTGCATTTCCTACATTTCAATTTTCAAATAAGCATTTATTTCCTCTTTATCTTTTCGGAGTAATTAGTTATATAGAGATATTAATATAAAAGCATGTTTAGATGCATTTGTCATTTTAGTAGAAATATAAAAATCTTTTTAAAATTTTATGAAATCTTTAAAAATAAAAAATTTTGATTTATAACATGTTACAAACAAAAAAATATATAAAGTATAATTTAATTAATGCATCAAAATGTATTTTAATTTTATCGTTTAATGTTGCAGTTGTAATTTAATTAAACCATGCAGTATATAAAATAATAATTATTGACCCAATTTTGTCTTAGAATCAGATGATACATGTCGTCACCCATTATAAAATATTCCTCTAACTTGCAATAATTTTACAGTTATCTATTACGCTATTACCGAAACAAATTACCGTACTTCGCAAATAGCCTCCAGGTTGCATCTCTGCCAATGGAACTTCATGCTAAAAATCGTAAGCAATAGAATGCTATGCAGGGAACACGTACGAACCGTTTGCTAGAGAGTTAAAATAAAAAACAATTTATTAACGACATAATTACAATAGTATATTCTGCGTGTGGAAAGCAATATCTCTTTTTTTATACATCGTTTTTTATTTTATCTCGGACCGTTCGACAATAATTCCTCGATTTAATCACAAGCCTACTATAAAATATTCGCACTTGATATACCTCGTTCGTCGTGCGTCCGCGTGTGTGGTTCGCGTTCTTGTCTTCCCTCTCTGTCTCTAAAACGAATTAGCTGACGATTTGTATGCAATTGTTTTTACATAATCGCGAATCTTATACGACAAATGTTACATACAACGGAACAGCCGGACATCGTGTTGTATAAATTTGTTTGACGAAATCTATTTTCGTACAATTGATTGCAATAATGCGTTCGCCTTTATATATGTATGTTGAAACTGAGAAATAGGCTCCTGAAACTTTTTAAAGAGAAAATAGTAGACAATATTTTTTATAATTTAAGAAAATACTTTATAGCGCAATAATTTAAATATTTAATTTGACAATTGATAAATTGACTATTGACAAATTAATGACATATTAATAATTAATAATAATAAATTGTTATTATTACTATTAATAAAAACTTACGTATATTTTTCCATTTTTATCGAAGAACATCTAACAGTCTGAATGATTAAGTGCTTTTTATGAGGAGTAAATAAACGCTTTTTCAAGAATTAATCATTTATAAATTAAATATGTTCATATTAATAGCATCCAAGGTATATATACGAGTTACCAAAACATTATCAGAAGTTGGAACTATTTCTCTTCTTATCTTTTTCGTAGTAAAGTTGCCCATTTAAGAATTCAAGGTAAGCACTACAGCAATCACTGCACTCGTTTTGTATGTAATTGTTTTTACATAATCGCGAATTTTATACGACGAATGTCACGTACAACGGAACGGCCGGACATCGTGTTGTATAAATATATTTGACGAAATCTGCCCTCGTACAATCGACTGCAATAATGCGCTCGCTTTTATATGTATGTTGAAATTTTTATCATGATGGTGTTATCTAGTCACCGTAAACTTATGACGCGCAGGACTGGCCATGCTAATAGTTTATTATCACTATGCTTGAACAGGGTTAATCATGGAGAGTTTCTACCTAATAGAGCTATACTAAGTCCGGCTACAAAATTCAGCTAAATCACTGTACAAAACGAAATGAATTAAGCCGCATTGGTACGGAACATTTGCGCAGTTACAGTGACAGATAACACTTGTACCTCCAAACAAAAAATTTGATTCACACGATTGTCGCAACACGTACTCGCTTCCGTTATCCTCGAGCGAAAATGTGCTAATAATATTATTTCGGTTCCTCAATGCGCATCAGGATAATTCAAATGACACGCGACCTAACAGTTTGTATAGAATACGGATGAGACGTAACGAAACATAATAACAAAGTTGAATGAAGTGTAAAGAAAAAATAAAATTCTGGCAATAATATCGCTTGTTCTTCAGACGTCAAATTTTTATATTGGATACAACAAGCATTCGATATGATTCGAATGCTTTTTCTAGCTATATTTACAGTCATTGTAATCCAAATAAAGTTATTCAATATTTGATATTTATAATGAGTAACTTGGCGCAAATTATAAATATTTAAGTCGTAGAATTTCGAATTTTTTCTTTGCTTTCTTCTGAACATTTTCTTTTGTATAATTGTGTTATATCTTTATAATACTTCAAGAACATTTTTTTCTTAAGCTTCGTACGTCTCAATCCGCAGTTCTTGTAAAATGATAAGTGCAACGAAATATTTATCCAAGAGCACTTTACACAAATCGTTATTTCGCGCACGGAGCAATCGAAAGATCATCATCGCGCACAACACGATTATTCTCTCTTAAGCCTGAATGAGTAATATGCAGGATGCAATAAATTCCATGATAAAACTCATCTGAGAAGTGATTTTTATATTATTAGATCAGCCACATTAATTTTTAGACGCTTACGCTCGACTCGAAAAAGTTGAGCTATCGTTCACGATATAATTTCAATAAAGCGATAATTAGTAGGTTTTTTTATTGTGTGTTTGTTTAAACTGCATATATAAAATATAATAAATTCGGAATATGCATTAACATTTACATATTGACTTACATATTGATTTACATGTTGATTTGTTTCCAAATTCACACTTACCTGATTAGAGCTATCAAATTTTATTTCGTGCAAAAAAAGAAATTTAATTTTAGCCAACTTCATCTAGTCTTTAAGAGAATGGACTCTCATTTTTATTTTATTCATGATTTTTATAGACATGTTGACATTCAATCATTTGTTTAATTACTAATTTTTCTAATTATTTATTTTTCAGTGGAAAAAGTTAACGATTTACCGTTGTGAAAGAACTTTTCGTCTTTCTTTCGACACATTTTAGCAAAAGTTTTTCCAGATAATTTTACAGTGCAGATTTTAACGGTAATCTCAGTATTTGTAATTTTGAAACATTACTCATCCAAGCTTAAAATATATTGATTAAACAAGCGAAGAAACGATTCCTCTTAATATTCGAACATGTAGAAATAATTATCGCATTGTTGTATGCGATCAATATACATGCGTGTGCGTGTGATTAATCGTATATGTATAATATTACATAATCCGAGAACCTTACATATCGCAACAGAATCACATGATCAAAAAGATGACAGCTATGACAAGAGAGACAGAAGACGCGTAGGAAGCGAAACCTTCGGACGTGTAATTATCGAGAACGTCATCGGAAGCGGTTCCTATTCGACAAGAGAAAAGAAAAAAAAATAAAGAGACTCCTTGACGAAGAAAAAAGTAACTTAATACCTAATTATTACGAATTAGCTAGGAGAGATCTATCGCGGTTTCTTTCATTTAAATTAACCGTAAAATTAACAACTAATCAGTATTCGTACAATGATAAGAACACTAGCGTAAACACGAGCAAAAACGTGAGATTGAATGATATACCGTACGTTTAACACACCCGTAATACGATTCATCATGCGCGATATACAATAATAAAAAGTCGAGGATGGCAGTACAGCGGTAACCAATTAAACATCGGAGCTCAAACTGCCTTGCTCTTAATAATATTTAGTTGCCTCGTCAGTATTTCCTGTGTACATCGACAATCAATACCGTTAAGTCTACTTAGAGATTTCCCTCTCACATGTCCTCAGAATTGTTTTACATCAAATGTGTAGTAGCTCGATACGTGCGTACATACATTTCGTCATCATCTCGTTATATCATAATACGTTCGTTCCCTCTCTCGCTTTCAGAAAAAAAAAGAGAAAAAATGTACACCCACCTGACTTCGAATTCAGAGCACACCTATAATTCAACACCTAAATTTAGCGCATATTACACTTCCTTTCTCTCTTTGCTAAAAGGTATCTCTATGTATATACTTTTTTACATATATACTTATATATTTATATATATATATATATATGCACTGTGAATGTTCCAGGGCACCGAAACTTGCTGCGTCGAAGGCATCTCGTGGCTATTGTTGTATCATTTATTTAAACTTTCTCTTTAAATAAATAAATTGTGATCACTTTTTCGTTTTTTTTCTTTTCTTTGCTTAGTAGCATGGACGTCAGAGCATCTGTACTCAATGGCGACAAGAGGAGAGACTAAAAGTATTCCATAGCTCCCTAATTTTCCCGCTTACGTTACACTCGTCGATTTAACTCCTAGCATAGTGCAGAAAATAGTTTTCATTTTTCTTTTTTTTCTACTAGCTTTATTCGCGGGTGATTTTCTTCTTTTTTTCTCTTTGTTTAAATTACTTGCTTAATTGGTAGTACACCGTAGTCTAGATTACACCGTAATCTAGGCGCTCTCTGCTTTATTTAAACTACCTGGAGACTTCATTCAGTAAACGGTATTAAGATACATACGCAGGCGGAGTAGTCGTACGAAACTAATCTCTTCGTCGAATGTACAGTACAGCGTGGTTGCGTGATTATTAAGTGGAGACACGCCGGAACGTTACGTGGAAGGAGCGTTGAGAATTTTTTTTTCTACATGTACTATATTATCCAAACGCAATTACGTTTTGAACGCGTACGCGTGCAATCCTTTGTTTAACGTATAGGTACTTCTGTGTGTATGTATGTTTGTTATCTTAAATGTTATCTAGTCTCTATCGTTATTACGCTATTTTATTAGGTGCCCTGGCTGTCAGCAAAACTACGAAATGTAAATCGTAAAATTGTTTACAGTGCGATCGAAAGAAAAGGTATTCGGTTCCATCGAGTGTTAAAATACACGGGCGTGTGTACGATTTTCTATACACTGTCGCAACACACTGCCATTTTTTTATCGTTTTCCATCGAAGAAGTGGCATGTCTAGCTCATATCTTTCGTTTAAACGTACGGATTTGTTGGGCTGTCTGTTAGGAACCTTAATAAGGCAACGAAGGAGCCCTGAATCTTACAAGTGTAATCTTTCTTTCTCCCTTCTTACGCCTTTTTACGGTATCTTTTGAAGTCTAGCATCCTTTATCGTGTATTCAGACACGGCTAAATGTTTATTATTGCCTTACAAGAGAAAGAGAGATAGAGAAAGAGAGAGACCCGGTACCGAAAATTTACCATTACATAATGCTGTGAAATCACGTAATGATAAAACGTGTAAAATATATAGTAGGATTTTTTATACATATATGAAAAGCTTCGCACGCGTGTCATTGATTCTATTAGTAATTCTTCTAGTTTCGTGAACGGATCTAAGCTCTCAAAAGTAGCGCAAAATACATAATATTATAAAATTTCATTACAACAACTTTTAAATTTTCAAGACATATTGAAATACGATTAATCACATATATACAACATCAATAAAAGCATAGCATCCGCTAACAGACAAAAAGGTCCGAGAATAGCAGATATTTTCAACAACTTCATATATATCACAGAGAGTTAATTATAAATATAACGTTTGAACAGAGAGAAAAAGAGAGCTTGATTCGAGAGCTTAACCGAGCTTTCTACAAATGTATTTCGCATGATAAAATTTCGTTGACACACGCGTCGTATAGATAAATAAGAAGTACATAAGGATTATGGAACCGAGGCTCTCTCCGATCATTTCCGTTTAATACCATTACCACAGAGAGCTTATTATGCTACGCTTCGCACAAAACGCCTCATCCGCGGCACGACAAGAGTAAAGAATAATGCTTCTCGACGGAGAAACTTATGAGAATCACCGTGAGTCACATAACGAAAGACTTCGTTCGCATCGCCTTAACGCGTATTATCGATGCACGCGTCGAGACGTGCAATATTCGTGTATTGTGCACTTTTATCGCTATACTCTTCTATATCTGCCTGCCTGTCTGCTTGGCTGATCGAGCTTGTCACCGCTCGCGACTGTCGATGTCCGTGATCGACGCTGCACGTATTCATGACAATCCGTGCTCATCACGTATATACAAATAAGAATGATTCGATACTTAAACCGCGCCCAAGAGCGAGACAGGTCAACCATCCGCCGTACGCGACACCATTGCCGTCGACGGCGGCGGATGAGGATGATGTACCAAGGCCGGAATTTCGATTACGTCAGCTGGCTGCTGATTGGCGACGGCGCTGTTGATCGAGCAGGAAGTGAGGGGTTGCTATTTCTTGGTCGGTGTGCCCCGTTGTGTCAGACCCTCGAAGCGCTTGAAGGTGTAATTAATGAATACCCAGTCCTTGTATATTACCTCGCCATCCTGTGGCATTGGTGCGGACGCTATAATGAGGCAAAACGAAAGGATGAAATGTGTGTATGTGTGTGTTACAGATTATTGAAGCAATTGGATAATAATAAGGAAAAAATAAATTAATCCGTAACTGCTCGCATGGGAATCAATTTGATCCACGCTTTGATTTATCTATGTTTCGTATGTAAATAAAATTAATTTTTATTTATAAATAATTATAAATTTTGAGACATATTTTAAACATACAATAAAATAATAATTTTCAAACATTAGAAATTAAAAGAAGTATATATTTAAAAAATATTTCTTTAGTAATATTTTTATTCGTTTATGCGTCTAAGTCAGTTTGACCACACGAGCATTTACATATTAAGGGAAACATATATACGTACGTATCTCTAATTTCACGTCTGGAAACTCGTCAAAGTTCGACGTGTCGTCGATGGATCGCACTTCGACCGGTATAGCAGCTGGTCTTTCCCTGATGTGCTCCCAATCGACACCGCGGAAGAAAGGCGCTAATTTGAGCTCCTCGATGCCTCTTTGCGCTCCTATGAAGAACAATCACGATAAAGATCAATCATTGTGAAAGATTCTTTTATTTTAATAATTCCAGATAAAGATGCAGAAATTTACCTAATCTTCTATCGGCTTCGCAGCAAAATCTGATAATAGTATCTTTAGCCTCTTCACTAATGGGAACTTCCGGTGGAAACACTAACGTTTCTCGCCAGTTCATTACTTTTCTATACGTCTCCTGTGGATTTTCACTGCAGAATGGTGGATATCCTAAAATAATTATGTTATTGTTAATTTTAACAAGATTAATTTTTAAAACTTTTATTCTATGATATGTTCAGCCCTAATAATTATCTTGCAATCAATGTTATCGTTATAATATCATTATTTAATATGTTTGTAACAGTATATTATTTCATATTTGTAATACATGTATAATATAATAAAGAAGTATGTATTTTTGTAGAGTAAAAAATTAATTAATATAAATAAATTAACAATTATATAGATTGTTTTTTAAATAATTTATTAATTACAAATGAATTTTATAAAAAGAAAAATACGCAACACATCATACCTATAAGCATCTCATACATAATAACTCCCAGAGACCAACAGTCGCAAGCCGGTCCGTAACCTGTTTGCAGAAATACTTCCGGCGCGATATAGTCTGGAGTGCCTACCGTGCTGTAAGCCAGCGCTCTCCTGTTTCTTTTCCAGCTCTCAGCTCTCCTTTTGCTGTCCATCGCGCCGCCGCTTCCACTCCCGCATGATGTCACTGCGTGAAACACAGGCGAGACATCAATTAAATTGTAAATCGACATTACGTAAATATTTTTCTTTGACGCATTTGCGAAAAACGTCTTACTTACTGAAATCGGAAGGTTTCGCTTGACTCAGGTCTCGGTAAAAATCAGTCCTATGTGATTTCTTCAAACCCGTGCACAGTCCAAAATCAGAAAGTTTTATATGGCCCCGTGCATCCAGCAACAGGTTGTCTGGTTTGATGTCTCTGCAAAATAAAATAAAATTAATATAAATAATTGTTTATTGTACATATAAAGTGTATAAAAACTATATATTTAAATATAGATGAAATGAAATAATTAAAAAATTCGAAACTCTTGATTACTACTAGAAGGATAAGAATTTAATTAAAAAATATATCACAAAACAGATACTCGAAAATTTCAAATATTTTATTTTTAAAAGATTAAAATCAGTGATTTATAATATAAATAAATTTCATTTAGTCCTAAATTTTATTTAATCTAATTATTTTTCCAAGAATTTTGACGGGATGAACATACCTATGAATAAAACCTAATTTGTGTATGGAGTCGATCGCTAACGCCGTTTCGGAAATATAAAATTGCGTGCACTCCTCGGAAAGCGTGTCCTTCTTCATGAGTAACGTCATCATGTCACCTGTAATTCATTTCGCTTGAATTATTCATGATGCCCAGAAATAGCACTTCCGTTTTCAGCTTGTCGCAAAGATCGATAAAAGACTTACCACCGGGAAGAAACTCCATTATTAGATAGAGATTTATAGGATCTTGGAAACTGTAGTACATCTTCACAACCCATTGATGGTCCGCTTCCACGAGGACGTCCCTCTCCGCTCTGACGTGCGCAACTTGCTCCTTCTCGAGCATGTCTGCCTTCCGGAGGATCTTCATCGCGTACACGTGTCCAGTATCTTTCTTCTGTACGAGTCTTACCTGTACATTTTTTTTTCATTTTATAAAACAGTACGTTTGGAATGAAAATACCAGCAGATTTTCGTCGAATGAATTAAAAACATTTTTCCATCTAATTTTGAATTTTACGAAAGGCATTGTCGCTTGCTCCGCGAAGCGAAGCGAAACGCTACTTCTTTTGAGAAGTAATGAGAAAATTTCGCTCTCTCCTGAATAACTACCGCCTGAGAGAATCTCGCGTATTTCCACTATTACCGTAATTATGACAATCATGAACAGAAGTTAATCTCTGTCTTTATGTAGTTAAAAGTCGCTGCATAAATGAATAATTTACACATGACACACATACGACGAGTATATCATTTAAGATGTCATTTAAACAAATAGAAAGTTTCATTTAGAGAACATCGTTTAAAATCTTCATTTCTCAACAAAATGAGAATGTTTAGTAATATCTATTACTCTTTTTAAATACTTATATTTGTGAATTTCAGGTAGCTGTATATCGCAATAAAATCACACTTTTAACTTTCCGCCAGCCACATAAATTTTAACTTTTCCATCAGCAATAGTTTCTCGTCGAGAAATAGAGTAAATTTTTTATTTTTTCGGATTATATAAAAATCTTAAAAAATCCTAGTATATTTGTGAAAGTTTTAATAATGAGTTTTTACCATTGTAGAAATCGGATTGTATTTTACTTATTTTTTTCAAATATAAATTTATCTATTAAAATTCAATCAGCTCATATCAAGCTGGCACAATTAGACCAACAGCTAATCTAGCATAATTAGACCAACCTAACTGTCCTAACTCGTTCGCTACATATATATACATCAGTTATCGATGCTTCTTTACCTCGCCAAATGCTCCCCTGCCGATGACCTTGAGAGGTTCGAAGTCCTCGACGCCAAGCCTGGACCGCTTCAATCGGAGGAATTCGGTCTCCTTCTGAGCATGCTGCTGCCTCTTCTCCTGCTTCTGCTGTTCCGAGAGGCCCTCATCCTTGAGGGACTCCTCGAGCTTCGCCAGCCTCTGCTTCCGCTCGATGTGCTGCGCTATCAGATTGCTGTAGTAGTTCTCCAGCGTTACCTGCAAAAGGCAAAACGCGATGCTCTGATTATCATCATATCAAGCTTGTATGGTCCTCCTCTTCCTGCGATGTCGTCGCTCGAGAGCTCGTAATACGATCGATAACACTTTATCTTGCACACGACAAAACCACTTCCGCTGGTCGCACGCGGTTACCACGGTTAGTGCGATTATTATGCTCACCGAGATCAGGTTCGCATTGCGAAATGTTTCGAAGCCAGCATTACTTTTCGCTGGAGCAACCGTGAAGACGGAGATAGAAAGAAATTCTCGTATTTTCCAAAGTAAAACTGCCACCTTTCTAAATTGAAATTACAACTGTATGGAATATGGAAGTACTATTTTAATTACATTTCCACTTTCCGTTAGCGTAAATATTTGAGATTATGATGCAAATTAAAATTTATGTTTCAAGAAAAGTAAAATGAAATAAAAATAACGTGAAAAATGAAGGAAAAACTAAACATTTTCTATTATCCTTTTTAAACAAATGTAAATAGAATTCTCGAAAAATAATATATTTAAAATTGTGAAAGGGCTGCAATGATAAGAGAGAAGAAAAAATATGATCTCAATTTATAAACATCAATCACCGGAATATGTTTATATTTATTTGAGTTTTATATTTTATCATCTCTTGTATATTTACGTCTGTTATTTATTTATTTATATTATCTATTTATTTATTTATACTTTTTTTTACTTTGAATTGTTCTTTTCTCACTTATTTTAACTTTGACTTCTGATCAACTTATTGTTAGATGTAATTGACAATATTCTTAATTAACTGCGAACATTCAAATTTTGTCATTCTTCTTTTTTACCTGAAAACTTTTTTATTTAATTATGCGAATCTCACGCTCCTGTTATGATTGGGTGCGTCATTTTTTCTTTTCTTTACTATCATAAATAATTGTATACCACAACTTTTTACTTTTAAGTCTCGGTATTTAGAGGTAATGTCTATATATGCCTTTATCTCTGGTTTTCTTATTTTCCGACCACAATGGAACAATACAACTTTTAATTTTGGAAATTAAAAGTGACTCCTTTTCAGTTTTCTTGGTAGCGTAGGACAGAGTAAGTAATAAGTATATTTCAAAATTTTATGAGCGTATTTTTGGATAAAAAGGAAGAATAAATAATCCTACACGGAGAGAATTTTCTTTTAAAATTTACCCTGAAAATAGGGTAGTTGTGGTACAATACAATATTTTAAAGATTTTTACCATGCACTTCACTAAAATTGATCAAACTTATTTTATACTTTATTGTAGTTTCATTGATGAATGAGAGAGATTTACATTCAAATTCTTCAAATACAATGTTGTTCACGACTGTCATACTTACAGGGTAAATTTTAAGAAAAAATTCTCTCCGTGTATAAACATGTCACAATTCGTTATCGAAGTAAAGGACGTAAATACAGTAGTATAATATAAATAATGATTTTATTTAAACAAATAATGATTTTATTTAAAACTATTAAGTAAGTTTTTTGATTAGATTATATTTAAAACATGCTCAAAATGTTCTTCATTATTTTCCACATGCTTAAGCACGACGTATCCATAATATAGTCATTATATTCAGTATTTGAAATCTGTTTGTGTCCATTAGAAACATTTCTTCTTCCATTTTATCAAAAAAAACGCCCACAAAAATTTAAAACATACTTATGATTCATCCTATATTTTTCTTTTATTGAAAATGGCTCGAAATCGAGTTAAAATGTACGAACGCTTTATTAAGTAATATAATTTCAAATATATTTTATTAAACATAAATACCATGTACCGACTCTCATCATCCCTTTTATAATTTATAATGTATTACCTTTTTAAACAATATTTAATAATCTTCTATAATTATATAAACACGAACATTTATAAACCGTGTTAATTATGTAATTCGTGATCTTATTTCCATTTAGAGAAGTATCAAATTCCAGAAATTTTTTGCAATTTTCTCCGTTTCTAATTCTCCTAACTTTTTCGGGTTTTCAGTTCTCCAAACTCTTGTATAACAACTATTTTTTTTTAAAACTTGCGCAGACACGCTGACATGGGCAACTTTTTTGCAACAGTCAACAAATTACTAACGAAATTATCGAGCATTGTCGGTAACACTGACAAACGTTGAGTAATCGCGTAATAATTAATGTACAGTAATTAGTGGGAAGAATTGGTTAACTTTTGGTAATTTTTTTTTCAGGAAAGTACACATGGTTATTAAGTAAGAAATGTTTCAAATTAAGTGGTGATTTTTACAATATAATATAATTAATTGCAAGTATTAATTTGCAACCAACATTTTATTTAGGCTTAATACTTTCAGTGTTAATTAAATTAAGGAAGCGTTTTCTAATTATAAATATATTTTTTCTAATAATATAAATTTAGATATGTATATTTATACTAACCGAGATGTCTTTCGTGAGATAAAGAATGCTTTCTAACAAGAGGCACAGGTTACATAGTGTAACATAGTGAATCATTCCTTGTTATTTGTCAATGTTAAACAAAAATAAAATGATCACTGCGTTACACCGTGTCTCTTGCTCGTAAACATCAATAAATTACACATTTCTCTAAAGTTTCATTTTACGAGATTTACAGAAATAACATCGTAGAAATTACCGTATATACAATTCTTCATAATTTTATTCGTAATAATATAATAAACAGACGGAATTGCAAATTTATTACATTATTAACCGTAATCCCGAGTAGTGGTCGATGGATTAAATCCAACCACGCGGGAATATATAGAAATATCACAATGCTTATCTTGTTAAAATGGCAATGATTAATTAGCAACACGGTCGACATTGCCTCACATGTCGACTGAAATTATTTTGATCCACATTTCTTGCTCATGTAAATGTAAAGTTTTTCGCCAAGAATGACGATTGGGAATACAAAATATTAATATTATTTATACTAAATAAATATTAATATTATTGAATATTATTATAAATTATCAGTTATTCTTCTATTAACTTCTTTTATCGTTCATTTAGTTGATTGATCATATGATAAGTTTGTGATCAGATCAAATTTATTATGACATAAGAGCTGTGTTATTACATAGTTTGATCATCATATTATGTAACATGTTTGTTATACAAGTTTCCTCGCGTCAAACTGAGAAAGTTGATAAGAAAGTTTAATATTGGTTTACGTACCATTCCTCATCGAAAATTCAAGATATTTAGATATATGTTTACAGTGTTAATTAATATTAAAATAAAAGAATCTTTACAATAAAAAATTTATTAATTTTCAATGAGATAATAAAATATCTTCATTTAAGTTTAAATAAAGATAATACCACAAGTTTTTAATTATCAAACTCTTAATATCTAATATTTTATGTGTGTAAAAACTATCACATTGCAAAAAAATATCTTCAAAATTAATTTTCAAAACCTATTTATTCGTATCAATGTTTTATGATACTCTATATATTGAATCATCTATCTCGAATGAATTGATAAATGCAGTATAAAGAACAGAATGGCTGCTATCTTAATGGAATAATCAAGTTGAAACTAAATCCGAACTCACCTTGGCCTTGGTCGCCTTGTCCAACGTGTGGCCGCTAAATCGGATCGTGCTCTCGGTGGCCGCCATCTCCAGCACTCCTGCAATGAGCACAAGAAAAGAGGTCATTCGGTGTCATTAGTCTCCAGAGTTAATATCTCTTAATGCAACTACTCTCAATGAAAATATCGCTTGAACGAATTAAAAGGCAAACGACACTCTTGCGACAATTCGTTAGACAAAGTATCGAAGAAGATATCAGCTATTTCTGTGTTAACTATAACAATATAACATTGTCAAAAAATTAATGTATCCAGAGTATTCTATATATTTTTAAAATAAAGAAGTAAAAATATAGATATTCATTGCATTTTTTAAATTGAATTAAAAATTTATGATTTCCATGTTTAAATTTTTTTAACAATATAAATATACTGAAAGTCTTATATTCTTCTGAAAATTTTATCATTAGTACATTTTCAAATTTCTATTTCATATATTCCTATATTTCCTCCTATAAATATATTTTATATTTTAATAAAAGTAAATTATTATAGAGAATATTTTAAGACATTTGTTGGTCGATTTGATTTTATATCTTACGAAGTAATTTTATTGATACTTTTTTAAATAAATAAATTATACATCACTAGAAAAAATAAGAAATTACAGAGTTTGATAATTATCACCTTTATTGGAATAACGATGTTGAACACATCTAAGACACTTCATTTTCGATCGACACGCTTAAAGAAAAGAATGTTCTTATATTCTTATATTCGAATGTTCTTATAATAAAGAATTCACCCTGTACCGCACGCGTTAAATAATAATGTTACACTGAACGTTACTATCTTTTCAGAGACAAGAAAAAACCAAAGTTACACACCCACAAAAGATGACGGAGCATTATAATGCGCATTATGAGCAAATTATCCCCAGGCAGTTGTAAGGTTGGACCGTGTATTTCCATTCGAAGACTGATATGTGGAAAAAGTGAAAACGTTCGTCATATAATTATTGGAACGATTTTAATGAGTCACACTCTTTTGTAATACAAATTTTTTCTATGAAAAGTACACTTATGATATCAACATAATGTAACGAAATGAATATTACAAATATTCGATAAATTATCTATTCTAAATAATTACTACCCGAGTGGAAATGTATCTGGGCATTCTAATGTTCTATATTGGGTCCCGTGGGAAAGATTGTGGTACGCCAGTATCTAGCCGGGCGCTACCTAATATTTACACTGAAAAAAAGATTGGCTGCTGCAGCAAATTAGATGGTAAAATATGGCATAGTATTTTTAATTGGCTGCAGCAGCCAATTTTTAGTTGCTTTAACCTATCTGCAATGTCAGTATAGGATTTCGATAGACTAACACAACCAAAAATTGACTGCTGCAACCAATTAAAAATGCTATGCCATATTTTACCATCTAATTTGCTGCAGCAGCCAATCTTTTTTTTCAGTGTAGGCGCTAGACAGAATTATGCTTGGGTGTCAAGATGGGAAAACTAGCCGAGGGCTAGCTAGCGGCCGGTGAGGCAGGATCATAATAACCATTAAGGGTATGCTCTTGCGCATGGCCACGCCCACTGTCCAATCAAAATATGTAGCAAGCATACGTCATCATTAAGCGCGAAATTCGAACGTATGCTTTTAAGCATGCCTTTCAATCCGAAAAATTTTCCGACTCCTTTCAATTCGACTCATTTTTTTGTCTTATGATGATGATTTCCGCAACCTTTAACCACATAACGTATTTTGAATGTGAAATCACTCGATTTTGCACTACAAAATTTATTCGGTGTGCTGCACATGTGTTGGCGACATATGGCGACCATATTACATTGACACGAACCGCTCCGGATATAGCCGAAGGCTGGTCGAATGTGACGTATGTTTGATACATGCGCAGTGGTCTACCACTGATTAAGCATACCCTTATACTTCTACCATATGATAATAACCATTTTTTAATATAACTAATGTTATTCAATAATATGAAGTAAGAAGTAAGAATAAAGGCCAGTTTCACCAACGCCGATTAAGTTTAATCGTGATTAACTGTCAACCGTAATTGGTTAATTCTTCTAAATAGCAAATGCGATTGGTCAGTTAATGGCCGATTAAATTAACTGGTGTTGGTGAAACTGTCCCTAAGAAATTGATCAATCACAGTCGATATATCGACGACAGTATTCTTCTCACAATCGACAGTGATTGGTCAATTTCTTACTCTTACTTCTTACTCCGTGAATTATAGACGACGCATTATGCGTTTAAAATTTATTTATTATTATTTATTATATATATATATTTTAAATCTAACTAGATTACCCTGTCCCTTCCTAGATAGCGACTAGACAGATTTAATATCTTGGGGCAACACACTGCCTCGTGATCAAAGCCTAAGCTAGACAGTTTTCTCAAATTTCAGCGGCATCACCTCGCGAACCAGGACCTAGACAATTTTCCAATATTGGGCCTATAGCGCATCGCGAACCAGGGCCAAGAAAGTTTTCCAATATTGGGGCTGGTCATTAATGCCGGCCAGTATAGCCCCAGGCTAGTCTTCCAATATAGCGCTTACATTAACTCGTGGAAAACTAGATGGGGTCCATATAGCGCTAGGTCGTAATTTCCACCCGGGCAAATTGTATTATAAATACGTTTGGGGAATTTGAAAAATTTAAACGTAACTGTATATAAAGAATTTGACACGAATCTAGAACAAATTAAATTCGAATCATCATCTGATTATTCTTAAACATTTAAAAAGTTAATTTTATAGAAGCATACTGTATCCACATAGATCTTATTTATCTCATGAAAATATTGTAACATTATATTACAATAATTATTATAACATTACATTGTAATCACGAAGTATTAATCAAATAATCACATAATCAATAATTATGACTTAATATTAATTAATTAAATATTGTTAAATATAATTGTAATTTGACGAAAACAGAATATTTTTTATTCTATATTCTATTTTTTATTCTTTTTTTATTAGAGAAATCTATTACCCAGCGCTACAAATAAATATTGTATGTTGCCTCATTAATTGGCTATTAATTGTAGGTAATTATAATTTGACGAAAACAAGATATTCTTCTATTTTCCATTTCATTTTTATTAGAGAAAACTTACTATCGAGCGTTTCAAATGAATATTGTATATTGCCTTTCCAAACACAAGAACGGAAAATCGGTTTCATTGTAGTTCCATTTAACACGTCGCAATACATTGTTTCTACACTATTATTACATTTTCTTTTGAAACTTTCTACACTAACCCGTTTTCCTTTGCAATTCAGGATTAAGTGGTTGATGACAGGTGCTCAGGGTGACCCAATTATAACTTACTGTTCCACAGCAAAATCCTTCGCGTAACACAAAGGGAATGAAAGGTCCTTTGTTAATTGTATGTTTTACAGCAACGCATAATGTGCAGATAGATTTATAACCGCATGTTAAATATTTGAAATAACGACGCTAACTATGAAGAGTTTAACGATAGATGTTAATTTGTAATTGCATTGTGATGCTATTATCCTAATTCGCTATATATATCGCGGCTTAAATAATTAAAATTTATAATTAGCCTAGGGCAATTGTTTAGAATGAATGAGTAACAAAGATACGATAATTATCATGCATATTATGTTATTTGCATGATACTTCATATATCAATAATCTTTTAACACGATTAATTATATCTCATTATATACATTATATTAATTATGTTTTTTATCTGGTTAGAAACAAAACGTATCTACAAAATAATTTGATAATTATTCAGAATAGATAATTTTTCGAATTGCTCGAAATATTCATTTCGTTACATTATTTAAATGTTGACGTTACTCTTCACATAGAAAAAAAAATTTGTATTACAAAAGAATGATGTGATTCATTAAAATTGCTGATTCATTAAAATTACTAAGCAGTCTAAATATTTATTTTAAAGAATGCTTACGAAATGAAATCTTTCAAGATAGGGCAGGTCCTGATTGAATACATTTAAAGCAACAACGAAAGCGTCATTATGTTATCAGCTTGACTGATGGAGCGACAAATTTCTCGTCCGGTTTAAAAGAACGGCACATTTCGCAACTGTATAACAAGGTGTTTACTATAACGTAAATGATGGTTCTTCATGAGGGAGGTTTATTATGAGGACATCGCGTGGTGTCATCGAATGAATCATTATTACGCAATCATGCGTTATAAGTACTAGAGCTACAATGAGCCGCAAGAAGATCCATTCTATACTGTGTGTTTCCTTTTATAAAAGTTGTATGTAAACATTTCGACATTACGTTTCCGCAATGACAGCATAACGTGACTCATAGAAATTTTACTGGTATAAATACTCACAACTGTAAGAAAAATCACGATTAGAAATATTTTGTTTTAACAAATCTTTCTATTTATTATAATGAAAAAAGATAAAAGAAATTTATTTATATTATTTTATATTAACTAAGTACGCGAAACGTGCCTATTGCGGTCAAAGTTAGATGTTGGAATAATACATCTACATATATTTCGAATAAATTTTAAATTTTAAATCTCAGCGAAATATTAATTTTGGAGTATTTTTATTATTTCAGTTTGTGTTGCAAGTCTGAAAGTAATCGGCGGCGTGCAGTCATATTTTTGAGATAAAATTTATTTAAAATACTTATATAAATGTTTATTATTCCAACTTTTAACTTTGACTGTAATAGGTGCTTTTCGTACTTACAATTAGTTGATTAGTGATTCATATAAGCGACCCTGTTTTGAATCTTGATATTGTTATTTTATATTATTTACTTTAATGAGAGAGACATTATCGCGCATAAACTTCATTATTTTAAGGATATTTCGTGATATACTATGTCGGGATAATAGCAAAGTGCTAAATCGCGTTAATCTGTAGCGCATCTATTTGTTTCGATACTCAATTTAATAGGATCAGCGATAACTGGCAAGCAGCTATTGATCCTTGCAACACTGCAACGTTATGAAACAATTAATGTGGACATTAGATCCACGTGTAAGACCTTAATTATATGGTTAATACACGAAAG